GCTATCGATAAATCTTAGTCATAGTTTGATAAAAGAGAATGTACACACATGATGTCTCGATATTATTAATATACATGTATATATATATATCCTGATATTTATTTATATATATATAAAATAAAAACACTTTAAAACACTTTTTGCAAGAGTCTGTAAAAGTTTGTGAAGAAACTGTTTCAAAACTAAAAACATCTTTAGAAAAACAATGCGTAAACTTAAAGACAGAACTTGGAGAAAAACAATATAATGTAGCTTTTTCATCTATCGAGGATAACGTAGAAAAAATGTAAGAAAACTTAAAAAAAACTAAGAGTAAAAAACTTTCTGCATTATCGAAAAGTAGGAGTGTGCAAGATGATTCCGAGCTTGATGTGCATGATAATTCATCTGCAGACAATTCAATCAAAAGTAATGAAAACAAAAGAAATTCAAATAGAGGGATATGGGAATTGCTTTTATAGATGCATTGCGTACAATTTATTTGACGATCAAAAATTTCATGCTGATGTTAGGAAAACTGTTGTAGAAGAACTGAGTGCAAATAGACAATTTAATCAAGAATTTATAGATGGTGATTTTCAAAATCATTTGAACAATGTCAATTTATTAGATGGTAGTGTTGCCTCCTGGACCACAGAGGCTGAAATAATTGCAGCAGGGTACCGTTTTGATATGGACATTTTCGTGAAATCATATTTTAATAATCAAACCCAGTGGCAAAAATACTCATCATCTGATGAGTGCAATCACAAGAAAGATTTCATGTGTCTTAATCATTCTTCAAATCATTTCAATTTTATCAAAACTTCACGTCGTCATTGCGACTGTTGCCTTTCTAATTCTGAGATATCGGATCATCCACCGTCAACTGACCCAAAAATATACACTTTGGATTCTCAGGAAAATGAATTGGAATCTGAGTCTATGGAAATACCGAATGCTAGTAATATAGAAATGGATGTGATCAATATGTCGTCAAAAAAACTAACAAAGGCACATTTGAGTTTACTGAAAAAAGGACTAAAATTTGTACCTACCAAGAAAAACATTGATTTCACGCAACTATTAGCAGACCTGCAAACATGGGAACGTAGGATGCGCCCACGAGAATACTTTATTGATGAGGAGGATGAAGAAACCCTAGAAAAGGAGGAACATTTCAAAAACACAAAATCAAAAACAAGTTGGACACCGGAAGAGGGAAGTGACAAATTGCTCGATGAATATATTAGGCAAGTAAAGGAAGACGTAATCAAGGGATTGAGTAGAACATTTTTGAGTAACATTACAAAGTCAGAAGAGAACGCTATGAGAGAGCTACTAGAAGATCCAAACATCATCATTAGACCAGCAGACAAAGGATCAAGAATAGTTGTAATGGATACAGAAGAAATATATGGAGATAACGAACAGTATTAAAGCTTAAAAGTCCATTAAACAATACAAAATAGGAGCAGAGCAAACACGGACCTCTAAACATCAGAGGTGGGATCAGGTGCCATGGAGGAGGGAGCATCCCCTGCCGACCGGTCACACCCGCCGTGTGCTCCTTGTCATGATCGGGAAATAACGGAAAAATCCGTCGACAATTCAGTGTTTAAATAATCGCCTAACAATTAGTATGAAAAACGTCAGTTAGCCACAAACAAATATGTTGATCAAGTAGAAAATGAAATGTTGAACAGAGGTCAAAGAAGACAGAAGCAAACAAATTACTAATAAAATGAAAAAGCTTATCAATAATATGCATAAAAGACGATCCATCTCATCTGATTTACGATACTACTTTCTGCCAACAAAAATTTGTTCAGGTAAATTACAGGCTAATCCGAAAGTACATAAAAAGAACCAACCATTAAGAACAATAGTAAATGGTCGTCAACACCTCACGGAGAAGTTAGCTGAGTATGTCGAGTTGCAGCTTGAGAACGCAAATAGATCGTTGAAAAGTTGCATATAGGATACGACCGATTTCTTAAAGAAAGTCTCCAGGTAAAATCAACCATTGCCGGATTCTATTTTGTTTTGTATGGATATTAAAGCACTGTATCCTAGTATACCAAGAAAAGAAGCCAGAGAAGTCATGAAAAAAGTTTTAAATGACTGACAGAAAAAAGAAGTTGACACCAACAGTATATTGGAAATGATGGATGCTGTATTAGATAATAATAATTTTAGCTTTAACAACAAGTATTACATCCAAACTGAAGGCACTGCTATTAGATCAAAACTTGGACGGAACTACGCCTGTGTTTATATGGGAGAATGGGAACGCATTCTTTTTGAAAATTCTACAAAACAACCATTTTTTTTTTAACTGAGGTACATTGATGACATTTTGGAATCTGGACAGGGACAGAAGATGAACTATACAACTTTTATGCAATTGCTAATAGTATACACCCCAACATTCAACTTGACTTACGTGTTTCAAAAATAAAAATAGAGTTTCTTGGCGTGTTAATTTCGCTCGAAGAGGGATTTCTTTCAACAGACGTGTACAGCAAACCTACGGACAAACATTTGTATCTCAATAAAACATTCAGCCATCCCGAATCTACAAAAAGCGCAATTCCGTTCGGCCTTGGCCTACGAGCACGTCGAATATGCTCCACAGAGAATGAATATCTTCATCAAATGGAAAAAGTGAAAACGAATTCAAGAAAACGCGGTTATTCAAACAACGAAGTGGGAAAACAACTTTTAAAAGTGGATAAGCTTGATCGATGGGATATTTTGAGATATAATAAAAAGAATAAGCAGTGTGACCGGGTTCCCCTTGTACTTACCTATTCAAAAGGACTTCCAAATATTCACAATATTTTAAAAAAATGTCAACAAATCCTAGAAAATTCTGATCATTTTAAAAACGCGTTCAAACACAAACCCATTGTTGCCTTTAGAAGAGACAAAAATTTTAAGGACATTTTAGTTAAAAAAAAAAACAATTTATTTTTCAAGAAAGGAAATTTGTGCGAGCCGTGTGGTGCTAAGAAATGTATTCTTTGCAAATATATTATTAAAACAAGCCAATTTGAAGCCAATAAGGGAAATATTTATCACATCAAAAATTATATTAATTGTAAATCTTGCAATGTTGTATATGGGGATTTTTTGGTAAAAAGTGTAATAAGATTGTGTATGTGGGAGAAACTGGTGGGACTTTATATACCAAAGACATGTCTTAAATCTCTCACTCATTAGAAGAGAAACCAATGACCCTGTTGCTGCATATTTTTACTCAGAATTTCACACATTAAAAGATTACTGTATTATAGGTATTGAAAAACTGTACAATAATGACATTTATAGGAAATATAAGGAGAATCTATGGAAGAAAAAAAAAATACTTATATACCATTTGGTATAAACAAAAGGGAGCACTATTGCCCCCTAAATCAATATATGAACAGTTTTGCGGTACATTATACATATAAATATGTTTATTTATATGGAATAATTTATTTTACATTATTTAGAGTCCAGATATATGTATCATTTGATTACTTTTGCAATCTTTTCAGATGTTTTTCGCGCAATTTTGATTCATGACGTTGTCTTTCTATTGTATGTACATTGTGACGTCATTATACGTTGTTCAACGTTAGTTGCTATGCATTTAAATAAACACGACTGATGAAGGCCGGTAACGCGGTTGAAATATTTCAAAAAGTGTTTTAAAGTGTTTTTATTCTATTACAAAAAAGAGACTTTGGATATATATATATATATATATATATATATATATATATATATATATATATATATATATATATATATATATATATATATATTGTTTTTCATAAAATATCTTTTTTTATGTGTTATGCTTATCAAGAGATTTATTTGCTCCCATGTCAAGTATTAAGCGTCGCCCGCGTGGCTTAGTGGTTAGAGCGTCTGCTCTAGATTTGCGAAGTAAAGAGTTGATCCTTACGTCGCGGGTTCGAATCCCACTGTGGGACGTGGAGACCGGTCCTTCGGATGAGACCGTATGAATCGAGGTCCCGTGTCGCAGTAGGTGCTGGCACGAAAAAGATCCCTCACTGCTCAATGGCCGTAAGTGCCGAGTATAGGACAAAATTTGCAGCTCTCCACCGGTAAGTGGTGGCGTCTCCATATGATTGAAAAATCCTCGAGAGGGACGTTAAACAACAAACAATCAATCAATCAATCAAGTATTAAGCCAATAATCCAAGATGATGGATCACATTTATATCTAAAGATTTTGCTCATAGCAATTTTACCATCAATTCGTCCGTACAATCAAAGAGATTAATGCCGAACACACAAGGATAAACAAAGCTCCTGTTAAAATAAGACCCTAAAACGTAGATAAAATTTCTAAATTTCGAATCAGAATTCATTGTTTGCTTTTTCTAAAGATTAAGAGAAATGAAATACTCGTGTAAAATTGGAGTTCTATTGTATATTCCAGACATACATTTAGTATGGAAAAAAATATTTTTTTTAACAAAAAGGGGTTGACAAAATGGCGCGAAACTACACACAATGAAGGAACGTCCTAATTAGTTTTATTGATGAGGTACTGGGTTAAGCGGTAGGCGCAAATTAGGCCCAAGGCACTTATCGTAGTTTTTAAAAATAGGCCCAAAATAGGCCCACGGCACAAAGAATGTTAATCTTAGTTGTAATATGTTTTGTAAAAATGGTCAATGGTCTGAAATTGCCAAGGAGAATTGATATTTCACATACAAATTTCACAACACTTGGGTGAAGAATCAAAGTGACGTTTTTTCAAGAAAGTACTTCTGCATATGAATAATAAAATACGAAAATTTTTGAGTTTTATTTTCATTGAGGAGGGCGGTGTCTTTTATGTCCATAATAACGGAAGACATGGCTTTTAACTAAAGAATGATTGCATAAAGAGTCGTACATATTGATATAAGTTTTGGGGAAAAAATCATGATTAAAATTTTTTAAAAGTTGTACATTTAATTTCATCATTTATTGGAAAATTTTAGTACGTTACACACCTCTTAAAGAATCTTCATCCTGTGAAACTTCAAATATGTCCTCGTGAACCTCTAGTCCGACTGTCGACCTCAAAATTCTTAACTCTGCCAAGCTTTTCTTTTGTAGGCGTTTAAGGAGAGTAGTTTTACCAGCACCAGCGCATCCTACAATCATCGCACGAGCTCTGTGTGTACTCTGAGTTCCCTTTTTAGCACACTCTACGTACCTATATCTCGCATCATAGTCCCAATCAAGAATTTCTTCTGGCACATTAACTGAAACATTAATACATGGAATATGAGGCCCATGGGCAACATCACTCACCTGAGCACTGAGGCTAGGAAAATTTCAGAAATCAGTTCAATAATGAAAAATTTAAATACATAAGTTCTAACCTACCCTTAAGCGGGGCGGGAACGATTTGAACAATCTTGAATCTAAACTTGCTGAGGATGTTTCCACATTCCTTTGACTAATCGTGGCTTTAGAATTTTTAAAAGATTTTTATCATTATAAGTTTGAACTTTCATTTAGGCCCAACTCTACCCCCGGGGTCGTGATTTGAATAATTAAATCTGAATCTACACTACTTGAGGATGGTTCCATATAAATTAGGGATGTCAACGAATAGTCGACTATTCGACCATCAGTCGAAAGGACCGACGATCGAATAACGAAACGACATTCGAATAAATAAATTCAATAAAAGATTGATAAGAGATGGAATTCTCCTCCTAAAATTGAGAAACCGTCTTCCCTCAGACACTGTCGATAAGATAATTTTCCTCATTAAAAACTGCTGACTTTACAAGCAGTAAGTACAGTGATTAGAAATGCTTCACTTCTGCGAGAATTATTCGACAATTAATGTGTTGTTTTTGTAATAAAATTATCTCGCTATACTGCGCTTTCTTTGTAAAATTATTAATTGGGCTTCATCTCATACATGTACCCAGGTGTGTTCCCGTTTTGCACACATTTGATAATTAGGTATAGAACAATAGGTGTTAAATATGTTTTGATAGCAATTATAGTCTGATCTCCGTCTGGGATTCACCTGGAATAACCTGTATTTTACTAATGCATTATAATAAATATTTAAGGGAATACATTCTGAAAATTTTACATATCCAATCGAAGATGAAGTTGATAGTTTAGACAAATATCCCTATCGCATGTCACCCTGTTTCTTTATAACCATGTACCCTTTATAGCCCTGACATGTTTGGACACTACGATAATTATTGTAAAATTAATATTCTTTTACATATTTTAAAGACATTTTGATACTTGGTACAAAAAGTATATTCAAATATTTAACATCATCACAGACACCATGTGTGCCCCTCCCCCCTTTATTTTAATCAGATTTAAAAAATATATCGCACTCTCATTTTTTTATGCATCCTAAAACATCGACTTCACAGACCGATTTATGAACATGATTGACGGGAAAATCGTATATTTTGGAGAAATTAGCTGTCTATTTTAAGTAAATAAAAACACACTATCCACATTTTAGGTCCATGTGAACATCTGTGTGTAACATATGATGTAACTCTTTAAAAAATTAAAAAAAAGGGATTTGGGGGTAAAATTTGTGATGTACCAGTGAAGTTTGAAATAAAATTTTAGTTTCCGAAAAAGTTTCGAATATATTCGACTATCGTTCGAATAAAGCAATCGAATATTCGACTAAAGAAAATAAATATTTTGACATCCCTAATATAAATATCACCTATAATAGCTTTGCTGTTCTTGAGAAGAATATTTTTTAAAAATTTTCCTATGTACTCCTCTGTAAAAATTTGATTGTTCATTCATTGTGGCCCCACTCTAACCCCGGGGGTCATAATTTGAACTAACTTGAATCTACACATCCTGAGGTCGCTTCCATATAAAAAAAAAAAACCAATCATGGCTTTGCTGTTCTTGAGAAGATTGTTAAAGATATTTCCTATGTATTCCTAAGTATCGTGCATTGTGGCCCCATCCTACCCCCTGGGGTCATGATTTGAACTAACTTAAATCTACACTGCCTTAGGATGGTTCAACATAAAATTACCAATCATAACCTTTATGTTCTTGAAAAGAAGATTTTAAAGATTTTTCCAATATTCTCCTCTGTGAAACTTTGATCGTCCATTGTGACCCCACCCTATTCCCGGGGGTCATGATTTGAACAAATCTGAATCTACACTACCTGAGGATGCTTCTATGTAGCTATCACCAATTATAGTTTTGCTGTTCTTGAGAAGAAGATTTTGGAAGATTTTTCCTATGTTTTCCTATGTAAAAAATTGATCGTCCATTGATCACCCTACCCCCCGGGGGTCATGATTTAAACAAACTTGATTCTACATTACCTGAGGATGATTCCGTTTAAGTTTAAACTTTTCTGGCATTGTTCTTGAGAAGAAGATTTTTAAATCGTCGATTTTTCACTAATTTATAATTATTTCCCCTTTCAAGAGGGCGTGGCCCTTCATTTGAATGAACTTGATTTCCCTTCACCCAAGGATACTTTTTCGCCAGTTTGGTTGAAATTTGCCCAGTGCTTTTTGAGAAGAAGTCAAAAATGAGAAAAGTTTACAGATAGATAGACGGACGGACAGACAAACGCCGGACAAAATGTGATTAGAAAAGCTTATTTTAGCCTTCAGTTCAGGTGAGCTAATAAGCATAATTTATCTCAAAATTAATAGCATTAATGCATCTTTTTGAGAGTAACAAATATATTACATTTTATATTAAGTTTTCTCTCTTACTTGTAATATAATTTGAATGATTTTTTTTTATTCATTTACCATTTGACATGACTTTTTTCCTTATTTCCTCAGCGACTTCCTCCTCAAAATAATTCTTTTTCACCACCAAAACATGAAGTATAGCATTTAATCCAAGCGCCTTAATGAATGCGTCCTCTAGCTTCTCTGGTAAGTATATACAACGCTCATTTTCACCTTTACAGAATCTCCAGGTACGTACGTACTCTAACAAGGAATCCACTGAAGACAGTTTGATGTAGTTCTCATAGTCGTTGTCAGTTCTCAGACAATCCATTACAAAGTAACTCATCACTTGATGGCGAACATTCTCTGATGCAAACCCTATGTTTTCTTTCTCCATTTTTACAGTTTTATCACATTTCTCCATTTCTTCAAGTGTGTCCCGGAATGTATCCAGATCGTCATGACACAAAGTGGGAAAGACCTTCACAACTTCCTGAATCTTCTCCTCTATAGTTTTTGTGCTGACTTCATAGTTTTCTGTCATCAAGATGGTACAGAGTATAGCCGTTTTTGAGGGAGTCAAAAACACACTCTTTGTTTCTGAAATTATTCATACACATTTATGTTTTATGTAAATAAAGTACTGTGTGTAAAATATTTGAATTCTTTGTCTGCATAAGCATTCCAAAGACTTATTTCGCAGAGAGAATTAAAATAAAATAAATTGATATGCATTCGAGAGATGATCCATGGAATGATCAAAGCATGTCGTGAGAAAACAAAAATAAGTACATACCTCGATTAGGTAAAGAACATACTGTGCTCGCAGAGTAAACACTTTTTATCCTCTCATTAGGACACATATCAGTCCATCTTATAGGATCCACTATCTTTCTCAGTCGGCACCATGATAGTAGGAAATGCCTTACCTTTTCCAAGATACCCGACTCTCTACACACAGGAGGAAATATACCTATAAGACAAGAAAACGTGTTAAAGCAGTCCATCATACATTTAATATAGAATATTTACATCCATGAATTTTAGTATTACATGTATCTCATTTATTTCTTAGAAAAAACAATTGCCGTTTATCAGTCAGAAAACGTCATTAAGGATACCAGTTGCATTGATTTCTAGAGCAGTAGCTCTTCAACCAATGACAGTTCAATGACCTACATTTCAATGCTACAATATAAAAACCTACTTACGAGTAAACTTACTTTAAATTATTATTCATATAGATAAGTTTTGTTTGCTTGTTTGTTTGTTGTTTAACGTCCTTCTCGAGAATTTTTCACTCATATAGAGACGCCACCACTTGCAGGTGGAGATCTGCAAATTTTTGACTTATACTCGGCACTCAGGGTCATTGAGCAGTGAGGGATCTTTTTTGTGCCAGCACCTACTGCGACACGGAACCTCGGTTTATACGGTCTCATCCGAAGAACCGGTCTCCACGTCCCACAGTGGGATTCGAACCTGCGACCTTAGGATCAACTCCTTACTCCGCGACTCTAGAGCAAATTGTAAAATTTCAAATGATTTAGAACCCTGTATATATTACATAAATATAGCCCTTTCATGAGGTCGACCCATAGATATAATAACTTCACGGAAAAACACATCGATTTATTAAAGGATTTAGCGTCTGCTCTAGAGTCGCGAAGTAAAAAGTTGATCCTTACGTCGCGGGTTCAAATCCCACTGTGGGACGTGGAGACCGGTCCTTTGGATGAGACCGTATAAACCGAGGTTCCGTGTCGCAGTAGGTGCTGGCACGAAAAAGATTCCTCAATGCTCAATGGCCGTATGTGCCGAGTATAGGAAAAAATTTGCAGCCCTCCACTGGCAAGTGGTGGCGTCTCCATATGAGTGAAAAATTCTCGAGAGGGACCTTAGACAACATACAAACAAACAAAATTAAAGAGCTTCATTTGTTATATTATTTTTTACAGAGATTGACGAAACAAAAATTCAAAAAAAAAAAAAAATGGGAACAAGCAACAACTACCAATATCATAAATGCACTGCGAAGCATGCTACAATATAACACTGGCCCAAAAACATACCTGTGTGAAGGATATGAAAGTCTATCTCAGTTTGGGCCTGAACTATAAGTCTCATTAAAGCTATAGGACAAGAGTCCAGTGGCTTTCTAGAAACATCTTCGTTAAAGATATAGGCGTCTGCATAGATGTATAGGGAAAACCCCGAGGCAACTTTTGTAAAGAAGTCTATGTCAATATCACTGAGGAGACATTTCTCCCTATAAGATCTCATTAACTGAATACGTTTGTCTTCTGAGATACGCACTCTGTTACTATTACTGTCACATTTAACAAGTTCTTCACTCTCCAGCTCCTTCACTGTCTTCGTAACATCAATGTCACCCATAGAGGCATCGCTGACCATTGAGATCCAACCATACATATCACAACACAGTAATAATGTGTAGAGAACAGCATACTGATCCGTTGTTAAATCAGATAATGGGTCTACGGGTCGTCTATCTGAAAAAATTAGCAATGCTAAAGTTAGTGGAATAATATACAGTGCAAAACTGTACGACTAAATCTAGCGTAAAGCCTACAGTCCCTGAAACGTTCTACTTTCCCACTTGAACGGTGAGCGAACGCTGAACGAACGGTGAACGAACGCTGAACGAACGGTGAAACGAAAGCAGAGCGAACGGTGAGTGAACGATGTGTGAACGCTGAACGCAACTTGGTGAACGATGTGTGAACGGTGAACGGTGAGCGGACGCAGAACGCGAACGGAGCGCACACGCAAGCGCAAAAGTGAACGGTGAACGAACGCTTAACGCAAGATGAAGATTTATTCGGAATGCCTCTGATCTTTTCCTTGCATTGAAACTATTCTATTGTATTCTAATGACTGGTGCTAAAAAATAAATAAATAAATAAACAAATCAATGAAAACTGTCCCAAGAAAGACGATACATGCACATTAAGTAAAATTATTAATTGAAGTTTCTTACAATATTTTCTGCACATATGTACGATGTTTAAATTCAACTTTTAATAGCACGATTTTTATCGCTGTAAAACATTGTAAATGATACTGAACGCTGTAGTATAAAAGATAAAATTAATCTAGTTGTAAAATAAATATGTTTATTCTTATTTGATATATAAAACCATTACAAATAATGTGGATTTTAGAAGAGAAAATCATGGACTTATAGAATGAATTACAACGGTTGTAACATTCATACATATATTTCCGTGCCAAGGCGATTCCGTGTAAAATAATGAGGAAAAAAAATTAAATATTTTACAAAGGTATGTGGACGTATTGCATAAATACACTCGTATTTTTAAATTTTAATGCAATAATATATTTATGTGTCATTTTTATTTTTTATGATGATTTATTGAGCAGACTTCAACATGTATCTGTAGACATTTCCCGGCCGTGATTATACTCGGACAAGATGATACAAAGAGGCAATCATATTATTTATTATAGATTAAATTTTCACAACTTGATATTTAAGTAATATGCTGTCATAGTTTTTATGAGAGTAATGAGAGAGAAAGAGAGAGATTCGGTTTTAACCCTCCCTTTTCCTCAAATGTTTATACCTATATCAAACGAAAAGTCTTTTTTTTTTCTAAATATATCAGGCAGTGAAAGTAACCATTTTTTATCAACAAGTACATTTATTTGACAGTCATAATCGGTTTATATTTTCCTGCTTCAAGTTCACACGAAGTCCACGTGCTTGACCTGTCAATCAAAATCATTCGACACTGTGCAGGTGTGAAAGTCTCGTCACACCGAAGGCAAAGTGTTAATATTTCCAAGAAGTTTTAACATTTTTTCTTATCATTTCTAGATCTGATTCCAACATTTCTATAAAAAAAAAATGAATAAAATACATTGGGAATAAACACTTGGAATGGTTAAGCCGCTTGAATTTGAAACATACTCCCTGCCAATTTAAAATATCACCGCCGGCACATGTATATCTTGAACTACTTTTTGTTTTATAGCTTTGTTTAGATGCATGTTTGTTTTGAGACTGAAATTTTTTGTGCTATAAAACACATTAACTTCTTTTTAAATGTTTATTAAAATATACTGGAAATACTAACTAAGTAACCGATTTAGGGGGAAAGGGGGGGGGGGGGGCTCTTAATCATATCCAATGGCAAACATATAAAGTTACGGTGAAAAATATCATTACTGGAGAATCACCTTATCACATTATCATGTTATAAAGGTATTTTTCTCTTTCTAATTAAAGACTTTATATATCTTAAGTAGAAAAAAAAAATCTATAATGTATTACATTTTAAACAAATATTTTTTTAAACCACAATATCAATTTAATTCACTCAAAATATATTTGATTAACTGGATATCCGCAGTACTGTTTTTAATTCTCAGAACTAGTTCTAACATGTATTTCTGTATTATTTGAAAAAAAAAATGTTTTAGAAACAAATATTTTCGCATTTTTGCTGCAGTTGGTAAATTACTTGACTTGGATTATTATCTATGCATTAACGATTTGTCGTCTTTAACATAACAACAAAATGTTGCAGTGCTTGAAGTATCTGTATATTACCCGTATTTAAATTTAATTTTTCAGCATCGCTCTACATAGGTACATACTTATAACAACATTTGTTTTCCAAATAAATTTAATAAATAACCTAACAGCTTGGTTAGAATAATAAACATAAATATTGTAGATAATTTTTTCCATGAAATAATGATTCTTTAAACACGATATGTTAATTATTAAATTAAAAAACCTGTAAATCCTTATTTACAAAATGATAAGTCCTTTTACTTCGGAGTTACGAATGACAATAAAGACTGAACGATAAGTGAACGCTGAACGCACGGTGAACGCACGCTGAACGAACGGTGAACGAACGGTGAGCGAACGGAAAAATGGGAAAGTAGAACGTTTCAGGGACTGTAATTATAAGCGTCGTTCATATTTCTATAGAACAGTCAGCGGTATGATAATATCCCAATATTCTATGAAATACGACATAAATTCGAATCACTCTTAAATCCTTCGATATAAACTTTTTGTCATTTTTGGAGAAATGATTCGTGTATTTAAGATGTAATGCTTCGATTCCATTAATATCTTTAAAAAAGATGACATATGGTTCGATTACTTAACCATATACAGACCCTAAAACGTGCTACTACACCTCAGAAACGAACCGTACCGTTCCGTGCAAGAATCGTACCGTACCGTGCAAGAAGCGTACCGTACCGTGCACAAAGCGAACCGTACCGTTCATGAATAATTTTGAAATAATTATGCAAGCCACGCCCCCAAAGCATTCCGAATCCTACGATGACCAAACACAGTAAGTAATTTTCTTTTATTTCTTTCGACGCAGCGCCCGTTAAAGAAGAACGGAAAATAACCTTAGAGATTCAAAATATTATTATTAAGTACCATGCATCTGGACTTACATCTGTTAATATAAGGAAACTAGTTACGACTTTAAAACAACTCGACAGAGTGTGAAGCGATTCCTTATTTGCAATGCATGATCGGGTTGTGCTTGACTAACTTTTTTTCATATTAAATGCAGCATCGTAATATTTTCATGTACAATTTATAATAAATAAAAGTGAATTAAATACTTCTTCTTTTATTTCTATAGCTTTTATCTATCCTATTCTTGTTTCTATGAACGTTCTCGGAAACCAAGACACATTGAAAAATGCATTAGGATTCTGTGCTTTTTTCCGAAACGAAGCCCTTAAAATATTTTTTTTTTATTCATGCAATTAATAGTTTTAGGGAAAAATGATTACAGATTTAGCAACAACAATAACAACAAAATTTCAACAACAAAAAATTACGAACTAAATTATCAATTTGAAAGCGGGCATGTTAAAATGCAAAATATTACGAACTAAATTATCAATTTGAAAGCGGGCATGTTAAAATGCAAACGCCTCTCAATCACTAGAAAAAAAATAAATAAAAGCGATGTATATTATATAAATAGTGCAAGTTTTTTGAGGGTAACAGTTGAAATTGACACCCCAAGGAAAACCATTGTCAACCGACGCGTCAAGATCTTCAATAAAAAAAAAGTTTGAGTTTGACAAGGAAACAAAAAAAAAGGGGGGGGGGGGGTAGCACCCAACATGGACAAATTATTCATTTTCAAAAGTTTTTGAGGACATGCATGGCTGCATATTATTTATTTTCAAGGTAATTGAAAACGGACTATTCATTTCTAACATTTTGACATTATTTATTTCGGAAATCTGTTTTTGCAGTCAATATATATTATATACATTTATACATTGTAGATGGAATTGTAGCCGTCTTAATCATTTTCTTGATTGTAACTTCCCTTTAAAAAGCGTTTTTACACATTGATGGAAAATTTATGCAAAAATGAAAACAATTACGCGCACAAAAATAAAGTAATATTTTGCACCTAATTGTGTGCACTTCTACCGATCACTTTTCAATGTATTTTTCCTAGTGAACCAAACACCTAAGAAATCTACAGTATGTAAAAAAAAATAATAACAATTCCTCGCAAATAAAAAAAGTAACTTATTTTTTATTGTTTGTTTGATCATTCGGTCAAGAGAAAATTTTTTGTTTGTTTTTTTTAATGAAGCAACAGTGACAAGAACGTAAAAAGAATGGTAGACGAAATGAAAGCATGCGGGATTTATAAAATCAATCTCATTTGTTTAAAAGTGTTATAGTGAATATTTAAAATATTAATTGTATTCAATTAGGAAAATTTAAAGGAAAAAAAACAACAACATATGTACGCTTATTCTTTTACCAAAAAAATTACAGAAATGCCCTTTATGACGACGCAACCAAATTTTTTTTATCCTTATTATACAGTGTTTGTTGATATGTTCGATTTATTTCCAAGTTATTGAACCGTAAGGCGATGGTGTACAAAATAAGATAATAAATAGACAACGAATTTTTAAATTGAAAGTACATGTAGTAGTACATACAGAAAGTAAATTAAAAAAAAGATACAGTTATTAAGACGACTAGTTACATTTAATAACAAAAATACAGCTGTAAAAAGGAAATATTTATAACAGTTTTAACTTAAAGAAAACTTATCAAAAAATGCTTGCGACACTGTCCTTCCATTTGTATAAAATAAAGAGATTACAATAAAGAAATAAACGACTTTATGAAGTAGCCAATCATAAACAAAAGCGTACAGGCTCCGCCCACGTAATTTACATACCGTTCACCAAAGCGTACCGTTCACAAAACGAACCGTTCCGTGAAAGAAGCGTACCGTACCGTGCACAAAGCGAACCGTACCGTACACAAAACGAACCGTACCGTGCAAGAAGCGTACCGTACCGTGCACAAAACGAAACGAACCGAACCGTGCAAGTGGTGTAGTAGCACGTTTTAGGGTCTGTAATATATTTCTCAAAATATCAATGATTTGATAAAGGTTTTAAGAAAAAGAATAATTTTATGTTCATTATTTTCAAACGTTTATGTCTTGATAAAGACTAAAATAATATTACATTTTTCCCTTCTGTAATTTAAACAAATGTATAATTATGTAAAATGATTCAAATTAATTACACGTATGTGTTACACTTTATACTGGATTACTAAACATCATAAAAGCCCGTACAAAGATGCATTGCCGTGTCCAACAATACTGTACCAAGCCCCTGTCTTTACTCCTTACAAAAATATTAATCTTTGTCAAGTTGTAACTTCAGACGTACTGTGCTACAGCAAATTCTAGAAGTGGTGTAAATCAGATGTGATTTTCAGAAACTCCGAGGAACTTTTAGAAAATTTAGTCATCATTTTTTCTAGTCAGTACCACAACATAAAAAAATATCAAAACGTATGACTTTTCTTCACTTAAAGCATATACAAATGTACAACAATGCCTCGTTATAAATTCTCGATGAAACAATGCATTTTCACTCTATATTCAACAGAACTCTGCTCTAACACCAAACCCCTAACTCAGGGTCTATTATTTTCATAACTTTAAAAAACGGCACCCTTGCTCATCATAACCGTAATCGTTATAACCATCATCATAACCAAATCATATACGTCCCTGTCGAAATAAACAATTAAAGACTCTGAAATCCTTTTGGTGTGTATTATATATGTATCAAACAGGAATAAGAATAATTTTGTTTCTAAAGTATTAATTTAAAATAAGTTATCATAGTAAGTGGGGGGATCTTGATTTCCATGGGGTATTCATCAGGATCATCCTACGTAGAAAAGCACCCGATTTCAATTGTTGTGCCAAATTAAGGAGGATGGATCCTGCCATCAAAAGTAATGAGAATTTTTTATCAAGTATATTTTTAGAATTTATACACATAGCTTAATTAAAAATCAAAACAAAAATTGGGAGTCAATGCGCATCCTTTGGCACTACAGAGCATTTAGTTTGACCTTTTTGCACTGTACGTCTTACACATAAATCAATTTTTAAAGTTTTTCCTCCAATATTTTCTATTCAAATAAATTATGGGAACAAACACAGTCTTAATTCATATTGAATAGACACATTAAAATTTGGGAGAATGAAAAGAAATTCAAATTACTCCGCATGTTTAATTATTTGACCTTTTTGCACTAAAAAAAATTCATTTTTCTGGCATTAAAAATTTAACAAGCAAAAAAAAAAAAAATCATTTGAAAGTAATGACATTTTAATGAATTTAAAAAGAACGGTTAAAAGTATCATACATTCAGAAAAGAAAATTGAAAGTGGGGGTCTGTGATGTTAATTTTTAGATATTACTAAAATAATGCTAATTTTAAGCTTAAATTAGTGCTATTTTTTTCTTGATTTTCACAATACATTTGCTATATTTATCAAATATGATGATAGAATTCATGACAGTTTATTTACTGTACAATTTAGGACCAGTATAAAACACTTCACTGCACATAATAACTGTGTGCAGAGTGCATGTAAAAATAGGAATCCAAACTTAACATACTTTAAAAACTTCGAAAGAGAAAAAAAAATGATCATTTTCTTCTAAAAAAAAAAACAAACTTTCCACCACAAAATATAATTCATCAGTTAATGCTTTTGGTATGGAATTTAATCATGGAGTTTTAACTGAATATAATTAAATTGGCATTGTAGAATCCAAATTTATTGTAAGAATTAAAACATAATGCAGAATCTTTTTAAATATAGGTCAAAATAAAAATCTGCTCAAAAGCTCAGGAGCGAACCTCATTAACGACTAATTTCAACAGAGTCGATTACACTATAGAATCAAATAACTCATCTGTTAACATAATCACATTTATATCCACAAAAATGGCTAAAATTAACTCAATAAAATACGTTAAAATTACACTAAATCTAATGCGTTATTTAAATCAATGGGTCTTTGTGACGTCATATAACCTCAAAACGATAAACCGATAACAAATTATCAAGTGCACAAGTTTAAGCCTTCATTTCTCAGTTAAGCAAAGGCAATTTGTTTTACTAAATGTAATTTGGCAATCTTTCATACCTGTGTTCGTATGATCTTTAAAAAATTCATGCATTTTCACTATCATAAAACCGTACAGCAGATTATTTTAGAGGGAAGCTAATTTGGCTTATTTTAGCATTTTGGTAGTATCCCGCTAAAATTATAATCCCTTAATAATCAATATTCTTTTTAGTGTTCTTTTCCAAAGTACTGGAACGAACCCTGTGTCCACTTCAATAAATTACACTGAAATCATTGGCAAACATTTGAGCAAGCAAAACGCCAAATTTTACACCCGCCAAGGAAACTCACTATACAGTATGAAGAGCCCTGCCTTAATACTAGAGCCCCATGAAAATCACAAATTTGAAAGATGCACTTCTGTTCATCATAACCATGCATTTAGCATATCCATTAAATATCCACGAACAGAAGAATTTGTGCACTTTCATAATATTATCGATAGAGCCTCGCCTCAACACCATAAATTCTGACCCAGGGGCTATGAATTTTATACTTTTGAAAGAGGCATACTTGCTGATTATAAAAATGCGCTTCTTTGCTTAATACCCAGGAGAAGAGAAACGTTTCAAAGAAATAATGCATTTTCTTAATATGATCAACAAAGCACCCCCTTCATCAAAACCCCTCACCCTGCATGGGGCCACAAATTTCACAATTTTGGTAAAGGCGCCCCTTGCTTATCATAGTTTATCTGCTATAGAAGTTAGGACAAGATTTAAATGTAATATACCGCGTAATATAAATGTAACATACCGTAATATTCCTCCATATACATATTATTATTATCATCATCATCATCATCATCATCATTGTCGTAGTCGTAGTCTTCGTCGTTGTGTTCTAAAAGATGATAGTCGACATCATTATCAAATTCGCTGTTATTTCCTACAATGAAAAAGGTGTAGATAACGAATAAAGATTTAAGTCATAAACAGAGAAAATAATACGATTCTTTGACACTGAAAATCCCAGAGGTGGAAACAGGTGCTGCAGAGGCCTAAGCATCCCCTGTCGACTGGTTACACCCGCCGTGAGCCCTGTTGTAAAAATGGTATAAAACAATGACCTATAGACTGATTGGGAATATGTCAGTCAAACAACAACCCAATGATAGAGTGTATTTGCAAACAAAGTCTTTATAACGATCGTAGAAAAATGAGAAATGCCAATTTTAAACGAGATTATTGAAAGCTCTATAGCATCAACTTATCTGTCATAATGAATATTAAAAAAAAGGAATATTTAAAAAAGGCGATAACAATGATCAAACCAAAAATCCTATAAAAAGGTGAATTGAGAACAGGACTATTCTATTTACTGAATCATATGCAGTAATTGGGTATTTTCAAGACACAAATGAAAGCCCACATGACAGTATCTTGCTTTTACCTTTTTAACAACTCTTTGAATTATATTAAAAAGGTTTATCATGCTTTCAAAAGTAGTTGGATTTTTTTTTTCATCACGTATAATTTTAGTATCCACATAAAGGGCTTAATTAAAAATAAAAGCAAACAAAGTGGGTCAATATGCTTCTTTTGGCGTTAAAGGCATTTCATATGACCATTTTGCGTCTAACACATCAATCAATTTTTCCTCCAATATTTTCTTATTCAAATAAAATCATAGGATTAAATACAGTCATATTTTGTCTAGAATAAACATATTTAATTTGTGACACTTAAAACGTTTCAAAGTACTTCTCATAGTCACTTATTTGACCTTTCTGCACTCAAAAATTTCTTTTTTCAGGCTTTTAAAATTTAACAAGCAATAAAAAAAATTTAAATTGTAAAGGTTATACTGAAATTAACCAGAATGGTTAAAATACAATTTTCTTATACATTCCGAAAAGAAAATTAAAAGTGGGGTTCTATGATGTAAATTTTTAGATATTACAAATATAATGTAAATTCCAAGCTTACATTGGAGCTTTTTTTCTGAACTTTCACAATATATATTAATTGTATTTGTCACACTATGATGCAAAAATTCATGACAATTAATTTAATAAATAATTTGGGACCAGAATTTTACATTGCAGTGCACAAAAAACTCTGTATGCAGCCTGCATATGCATAGAAAAAATAGGAATCCAAACTTAACTGTACCGTTAATACTTCGAAAGAGAATAATTGTTGATTCCATACGCAAGAGTATGCTCCATGCATGAACAATTTCTAAATTGAGGCAATCTCTTCACAAACAAGTTGATTAACCAAGGATAACAGTCTCGTTTAAAGCCTTGTCACAAGTCTTTTGGTCCTATGACCAAAAGCTCAGGATCGAACCTCTTTAAATACATTTGCTTCACAGAGAAAAGATGTTGATGTTGGAGTTCATTAATTTTAAAAGAGGTTTGACAGGATTTAAGAGAGCATGTCACTAAGCATTGAGCTTCATGCTATATAAACATGGAAAGTGGAAAAAATTATTTCTAGCTCAAATTTTGTGAACATGATGCATATGAATAGTCTTTCAAAAAAACATACCTACCCAGGCATATGACCTCTTGTTTCCATGGCAACCAGGGACTTTGCTATATTTTATTACAGAAATACTTGAACTGCCTTGTCCTGTTATAATTCATGTATTTTACATCCAAACTCCATGTATAATTTTATAATGTGGGTCATAAAGTGCTTTGAAATACATTTTTCTGTTTTATAAGGAAAATTTATTTTGTAATTGATTTTTATTAGATTTTACCTATAGAATTATATTGCATGAAGAGCTACGTAGTTTGCAAAATCCAGACAACTTTAGAAAATTCTACATATATCTGTAGAAGGAGAATACTCTGTTCAATAAATTAAATAAATAAAATTGGGTAGACAATCAAGACTTTCAGAAAAATATCTGAATGAAATGTTGTAAAACACTGTTGAAAAATGATTGGATTACCTCCCTTGCAAGAGCTCTCTAGCAAAGGAGGTCAGAAAGAATGAAACAGACAACAATAGAGGAATTGCGGGAGAAAAAGGAAAACTTCCAACTTGGAGTAGTTGGACAAAAACAGATGGTGGTATGTTGAATTTTTTTTCATGTACATTTTTGGGTAAACTTTTGACAAGTTTATCTTTTTAAAACAAAATTAAAGATTAGGAAGGTACTCACAGATTCATTTCTCTTTCCCATGATGTGATACAAACACTGACTGCATAAGTGATGCAACATACCTACAGCTTGTGAGCAACCTGATATATGACCACTAATGTTTAATTCAGCAGTTGTTAGATTACTCTTAATGCAACTAAGGATATATAAATGCTATAGTGATATTTAAAATAATTAGAGATATGTCTATGATGTTTGTGAATATATATAGTGTATAAAGAGGTCATAGGGTCACACTGCAGGTAAGACTAAAGTCCCTAACCACACAAAAAAGTCATTCTTACTCACCCCTTCCTCTTTTATAAATCAGAGTTTATATTATTTCACATTAAAACTAAAACTTTGTTCAAATCAAATTTTTTTCTCCTGCATCTTCCATACAATCAATGCAACAAACATGTCAAATCAGGGTTTTTTTTTCCTACCAATTGCCAAAATGGATTGGGAATGGTACTGATACCAATTCAATGTTGAAAAATAGCATCGAATTTATTTACCTTTAAGTTTGGATGAAATAATAATATATCTTGACACAATGAAAAGTTATTCTACAGAAAACAATGGATTCTGTTGAATCTATATGAAAGGAAGTATGATAGAAAATGTGTAGGTAGTTTATAAATCAACATATGTCTGAGTGTTAATATAATTATGTAAAAGTGTGAATAAAACTTATGAATTGAAAAAAATATATATGAATTATTGGGTACAATTCCCAAGTTTATAAAATGTATATACTAGAGTAATCAATAAAATTATCATACCACTTCTCCATCTTCAGGAAACCAGACCTCATTATTTGGTCAAAAGAGAGTCATACATATGAAGGAGGAATTAAGTGATGTTTGTCTATGAAAATTGACCCCACCCCACCCCCACTCCAGAATCCAGAACTCCTATGTATATTTTGCAGCTTGTTCATATATCTGAATTGTTCCCTTGTCTGCATATATGTAACTGGTTCATGCTACATGTAAATATTAACATTGACTAGCATGGTGGAAATTATACATTCATACATGTATATCATAAATGCAACCTTTACAGAAGATAGGATGTACATGTGTGTTAATCTACTACTGTATCACTTATTCAGTAGTAATACATAAACTTTTGTTATTTTTACAGCTATCATAGATAGCTGAAGATGACACCCTGATCCTTTAAAGAAGCCACTGGAGGAAATACATCTTGATCGGAACCATTATTAAAGTTTAATCTTGTTTTACAATGTTCCAAATCAGATATCTGTCTAATAACCACATACAAGTAATCCCCAGAATTGAATTTGAAGGAATGGAGGATTGCACGTGTTATGTATTTTTTTGATGATATAGACAGTTAATACGTGCCCAAATCACAGGCAAAACTTGGACTTGCTTGGACTTTTTGTATTGTTTTTGAGCCTCATGTGTGTATAAACTGAATATTAAATGATCTAATGTAATGACTTTTGAAAAATTATGAAAATTCTTTTTGTATTTTTGAGCTATTAGGAAATGGGACTTGCAAGAATAAGTAGCCACTAAAATTCTATTTTTGGTTCTTAAGATTTTCCAAGTTAAAATTGGGGACTTGGAAGAACATTCTGATTTTATTTATTTTCTTAAGGACTAGTTGTCAAAGGTTGAAGCATTATTCATGTACTTTACAGAAACCTCCTCCTTAAAGAGAAAATTGACGGTTTTACAAAAGGGTCAAATTATATTTTTTTCATTTATTTAAAAAAAAAAAGGGGGGGGGTTGGGGGGGGGGGGTTAGGCTGAACTCTAAGGATGTTTTTAATGAATGTGGTCAAATTAATTTTTGTTGAATCATTTTTAGTCTAAATAAACATTGACTTTAGTTCAATCTGATGTGAATTAAGAGGTTTGAATGATATAAGCAGAGGGGGGGAAATAAAATAGATTTTTTTCATTGGATTTCTCCTGTAATTGCTTTCAGTAGTGTATTTATGGAACTATTGAAGGAGAAATTTTTAAAGGGGCATTAACCATAGCTGTACTTAATGGGCTTTTCTGTTAAAAAATTTGTGTTGTTGTTTTCATCATCTTAAACACTTCTGCATTTTCATCTTTAAATTTACTGAAAATACCATTGGACCATGCTTGACACTGAATATCCTTCAGTAAAGGGGTTTATTTCAAGTTCGTTCAAATAAGTGGCCGAGCTCCTTCCCAAGAAGAGATAATCAGGGAAAGCCAAAAATAGGGTGGGGTCATTTATATTTGCATAAATCTTAAGAAAAAAGATGATGTGAAAGCTTCCTGATATATCAAATAATGGCCATTGGTTTTAGGGTGAAACCACAACAGGGAATCAAAGTATATAGGCAAAAAATAAAAACAGCGAAGCCAGGATTTGTCATATTATGCAAGGAATTCTCAGGTAGTGCAGATGTCATTGTGTACTAATTGTGATCCCAGGGGCTAAGAAGAGGCTAAAATGGAGACTAAATGAGAATACATGTACACATTTTCAGATATTCTTTTCAAGAATAGCAAAACCAAACTAAATCATATCAATTAATTTGCAAAGATTCCCAAGTTATTTAGATTTTAGTTTTTTCCATCAGATTGTCAACCTCTAGGTATGGATGGGACTAAAATTTTACATAGTTCAGTGGAGGAAAATTTTAGGGAACATTAAGGTCATTTTAATCTTTATTGATGTTGAAGCATCATTATTTAGTGTTGAATGAAGGTTGTTCATGATGCATTACTTTGCACATGTTTCAAATACATGTATTTCAAGAACAGATCATAACAGATAAAATTTTTAACTTTGACCTCAATTAATTAACTGACCTTGCCATTGGGGTCAAGGTCAACAGTAGAGCATGAATTTATCTTCTTTAATTGTCTAACAGTATACACTGTGCATCAATGTATGAAATATTTGGAGCAAGGTTGAAAATATCAAGAACCATGTAGATTTAGATAAGAAATTATTAGACATAGAATATATAATACAGAATATTTGACCTTGGGGTCAAAGGTCAAAGTGAGGAGAAGGTCATAGTAGTGAATGACTCATTTCCTGTTACAACTGCACCCATGTGGAATAAGGATATCTTGTTTCTGAAAGGACAAATTACTTCTAGTAATCTGAATTGTTAACAGGAATCATCTTAAAATGCCCAAATTTGCATATTTTTGAATCTCCATGGCAACAATGTTTTTGAAAGTCTACCCAATTTTATTTTTTAATTTTTTTGTATACTCAAACAGTTACAAAATTTCATTATAGAGTTTACAAGCAGTTGTACGGATTTTTGTCAAATGCCTTTTAAAAATGTCTTAAATTCAGCTATTTTTTCAATGCTAAACTTGTCGCTTTTTCCCATTGCCATAGCAACGTAACGGAAGAACTTAATCCAATTTAATCAGGCAAAGTAGAACTATCAATTTAGTCATCTTTAAAAAATGGGTAGTTTCAAACCATTTTTTGAGAACATTTGTGTGAAAAATACATTTAATTATGTCAGTATTTGCCCGTTTTGAATGTGAAAAATTGTTCTGGTAACTAAGGAAATGTTTTTCCTTGGATACGACTAAGTGATTATGGTTGAAATCATTAATTTTGTATTTTTCATGTTATTTGTGACAGAAATAATCCAAACACACTGTTTTTAAAAAAAATCATATTTTTGACTTTCCATAGAAAGCTCAATGCTTACTGACATGCTCTCTTAAAGATCTACCGTTATAATCTTCTTCGTTATCACCATCATCATCATCATCATCATCATCATCATCATCGCCTTCATTGTCGTCATCATCATGGTCGTAAAGTTCGTCATTATTGAAATCATTTTCAAATTCGCTGTTATTTCCTACAATAAAAATAATTATGAAAACGAACAGTGATCAAAGCCATAAAACATTTTTGTGCCAAGTTGTGACGTTGACTTGAAATCACAAGAACGAAGTTTCATGTACGTTGTTATTGTTATCATCACTATTCATTTTTGTCTGTACTGTAGATCACCAAATTTTAGTGACAGTTTATTTTCGCGAGAAAGTTATTTGGTATATATAAGCGGGACAAAATTTCACAAATTCTGGACATTGTTGTATATAATCTATACTAATGAAAATATACATGAGAATGAAATTTTCGCGAGCAGACGGTCTCGCCTTATTACGCAAAAATGAAGTTCTCGGCAATAAAAAGTGATAAACACTATTGCAAACTATATCAAGAATAATATATATATATATATATATATATATATATATATATATATATATATATATATATATATATATATATATATATATATATATATATATATATATATATATATATATATATATATATATATATATATATATATATATTACATTTTCAATAGTGAAATACTGTGATTTATGTATTGAATTAAAGTGATGTTCTCTCACAGTGTGAAATGATACCAAAATGATATTCTCTCACAGTGTGAAAGGATATCAAAGTAAGTCAAAATAATTTCTGGCCTGCCATAAGATAGAGATAGTAATTAACCATCTTGATAGAGCTAAAACTGCCAATTTCTTCCCAAATATATTGCTAAAATCCATGCTATGTAATGTTTTTAATCTCACAACTGCTACACTGTAAGCTATGACGTTTCAACCGCTCAACTATGATGTCAAGCCTAAAACACTGTGTTAAGAAAAGACAGAGGCAAAGGGAAAATCAAAGAAAATGTAACAAACAGAAAATGCAATGTTTTGTTGATGAATATGGAATTTATTTCACTCGTGAGACAAGATTTTTTGATATTTTCACTCGTGCTTCGCACTCGTGTAAATATAAAAAAAAATCCTGTCCCACTTATGAAATAAATTCCATATTCATCTACAAAACATTGAATATCCTCTCTCTCTCTCTCTCTCTCTCTCTCTCTCTCTCTATATATATATATATATATATATATATATATATAACTTTTTATTTCAAAAGCAACCTACATTTCGCTTTACAAAAGTGAATGCGAGAATTCTGAGCAAAAAGGTTAGAAGGGTACGGTATCAACCTCTTGTCTTGTGTAGGATGTACGTGAGTGGACGAAAGGATTTGAATTCTATCAGATTATCGTTTTCTTGAAATTTCCTTGAATTAAACTTAATATGCATTTTTAATCAAAAAATATATGCAGATATTCTAGTTAATTCCTTTTAAATTATGAGTTTGAACATGACTTTAATTTTATATGTACCAAGATAGTCATCATCATCACCATCATCACTATCATCATTTTCCTCTTCATCAGCGTCATCTTCATTGTAGTCATCGTAATCGTAATCTTGGTCATCATAATAATCATCTCTGAGGTCGTTTGAAGATTCATTATCATTCTCAACAAATGAATTCAATGATTTGTCTGTAGATGTTGATGGATCATGACCTTTAGGTGTCTGCAAGTCACCGGAGCTTGTCCTCGATCTCTTTTTGGGGATCTGAATTTTAAAGAAAAATATTTTAGATTTTTATGATGTGTAGCGCAAATAAGATCATAATTCGACATAATTTTATTTATCCAATACTCTTTCATTCATTAACCCAGCAAATGATGTCTTTAGTTGATAAAAACCAATATCATTTACTAGATGCTGTCATGAGACAGTAATACCCGCACTAAGGTGTTTGCCTCTAAATGCACACTCCTTCATATTGGGCTTACCAAGGAAAAAGTCCAAATAATTCTATAATTTACACAGTACATGTATTCGTCAAATCGAGCATAAAATGCTCAGGTGACCATGTGACCCATGAACCTCTTATACGCATTTCATATACTTAATTCATTACCAGTCTGAAATAACAGAATTTAATTAATGATGTAAATTAGGTTTTGATAAAAGGGGGGGGATATAAATTTTGGCCCATAATTGGAACTTTTTAAATTTATTTTCTCAACAACAAATAATATTATTTTAGTACAAAGCATTTTTGATGAATTTATCAAAATGTGCAAACTTTTTTTAGTATTTGATTAGGCAAGAACCTCCTTGAAAAGCCATACCCAATCAATTTTTTACACCCCCCCCCCCACCCCCAACACACACACACACACACACAATTTGCCTGTTTTTGGAAATAGGCCTAGATGGCAAAGTTATGTTAAAACATCGTTTGTTATGATAATTTAAAATTTGTTCTTGTACTGTACATGTATGTAAACACCTTTTTGAAAATTTCTACATCACATTGGGCTTGCGTCACCCTACCAGTACTAGTACTAGTTTTACCATTATCATTTTTAGATTGCACATGCCATGTGACATGGTGCAGTGTTACATGTAGATCTATATCAGTGGAAATTAATTCATTTTGTGTTTTAATTGGATTATATTTCATGAAGTTGACAGGACCTATGACAGTCGGTAAGTACAAGTTAAGTATAGATTGGGGTAAAATAAACCGAAATGCAAATGGTTAGGTTAAAGTTTAAAAAGGATCAAAGATCATCGGCAATCTCCTATGCAGAGTTGTCATTCATTTCTCTCTCAGACACTGAATGTATGAGCCGATGGTAGAGAGTGGATCATCGAATGCCACAATAGACGAATTTCACATTCTGAAGAGTTATCTCCCGTTGTCGACATTACATTCAGTTACAGGCACAGATCCAGGAATTTTTTTCCCGGGGGGGGGGGGGGGGGTCCACACCTCGGTCCAAAAAAATTCCAGCCCAGAATTTCCTGAGGAGCAAAAAAAACAAACAAACAAACAAACAAAATAAAAACAATGATGGTGGGGTCCATGTTTTTAAAGGGGGAGGGCATCCAAAGTCATTTTTTATTTGCTTCTGTAAATCAGTATATATAATCCTATTTAAATAACTCTGCAAATTCCAGGGGGGGGGGGGGGTTTCCAATCTCCCTAGCCACTCCCTGTCCCTGAAATGACAAATGATCATGTGACTCCTAAATAGTAGAAAACTTTTCCATTTGACTATACATAATTTTGTTTCTTGTGTTATTATGTCATGTACATTTAATGGTTTAAGGTTATGAACCCCTGGAGGTCATCCCCACTCTCTTAATGAACTGGAAATGTTCATAATATGACTACATCAAACTAAATAAAAGTGCATCAATGATAAGATTACTTGACATTTCATTCATGAATTTGGGTCAACCCATGTACCCTCCTAGAATTAGGAATGAAAATCATTCAAAGAGATGAACCATTAAACTATTTGTATATATTCACATTTTTTTTATGTCAAACCAAAGTATTAGACTAGTTTGCATACATGAACAAACAGGGGTCTTGGAAGGGGAAGGGGCAAGGGGAAGGAGTTATCTCTTTACATCTTAATCGTTGAAAATTCCTAAAATGAATGTTAACCTCAAATCCGACTTGTACATCTTCATTATTTTTAAGTGGTGGTGTCTCCGTATGAGTGAAAAATTCCCAAGAGGGACATTTAACAACAAACAAACATTAATGACTTAAAAAACACAATAAACATGTATATGTTTATTAGTCAACGGATATACTTCTGATCATATCTCTTGTTCTCCCTTGAATCAGAAGTGATGATATAAATATTTTAAGAATGATTAAGAGTTGAAAAGGTTGTGCATTTTAAAATTCACTAAGCTCTGTGGTTGAATTAGCTATACCAGTTTAGCTTATTTTGCTACTCAAAGCACCTTGACTAACTATTTTTAATCATACTGTTTTCTGAAATGTGAAGTTTTTTCAACATGGATACAAGTCATACCTTTTCAGCTTCTGAAAACAATGCATGAAAAAAAAACTGCTTTTCAAATACTGTAACTCTTTCCAAGTACTTGTGATCATCAGTTTTTAGCTCACTTGAGTTTTTCTGGTTTTCTGATCACATTTTGTTTGTCATCCATCTGTCCGCCTGTAAACTTTTCACATTTTTGTCTTCTTCACTAGAACCGCTGGGCCGATTTCAACCAACCCTGCCACAAAGCATCTTCGGGTAAAGGGGATTCAAGTTTGTTCAAGTGAAGGGTCACACCCTCTTTCAAGGGGGGATAATCAAGAATTAATGAAAATTTGGTGGTATCATTTTAAAAAAGTCTTATCAAGAACCACTGACTGGGCCCAAAAAGTTGAAACTTTCTTTACATAGACAGTGTAGCTTCAAATTTGTTAAAATTATGACCCACTGGGGTAGGTTGGGGCCACATATGGGGATCCAATGATTTACATAGAAAAATGCAGGGGATTTTTTCCATCATATATCTTCTTCTCATGAACAGCAAGGGCATTATTGTCGTCCGTTTTCACAAAAGGGACCTAGGGGACATTAAATCTCATTTGTCTGTCAGTCTGTCCGTTTGTCAGTCTGTCCGTCTGTCACAATGAATTTAACCTTGGTCATAACTTCTGAATAATAAGAGAGAGGGCTTTCATATTTCACATGTACATTACCTACAAGAACTTTCTAAACATACCATGATTTTTGAACCCATGACCTTGACCTTGAAGTTTGACCTACTTTTCAAAAAATTTAACATTATTTTAAATGATCATTTTGAAAGAGAAAAGATAGGGCGTTCATATTATACATGTATATTACCTGTGACAAGACCTTTCTAAATATATCATGACTTTTGACTCTGTGACATTGACCTTGAAGTTTAACCTACTTTTCAAAAATGTTATATTTCCTCATAACTTTTGATTGAGAAGAGATAGGACTTTTATATTTGACATGTACATTACCTGTAACAAGATGTTTCCAAGCATGCTATGATTTTTTTACCTAATTTTCAAAAATTTTAACTTTGGTGATTACTTTTGAATGACATATGATAAGGCCTGCATATTTGAAACAATATGTCATAAATAATGGCATCCCATCCACTAGGACACGGAAAGCAGGGGACCACAATTCTTTGAATTTGCTTGTTAGTCATTTTGATATGGAAACATCCTCATATAGTGTAGATTCAAGTTTTTTATGCCCTGCCATGAATATGGCCGAAGCATATAGTGTTTGTCATGTCCGACTTCAATAAAACGTCATATGCTGATACATACTGATGTAAGCTTTTCAACTGCATCAAAATTTTTGACCTTGACTTTTCCTTTGACCTTGACCTTACTTTTCTTAAATTAGTGTCTAGATCAGTTTTGAATAAACAATTCAAGATATATTTATCAAACTTCATATGCTGATATATACTGCTGAGAGATATCAATTGCATCAACTTTTTTGACCTTGACTTTTCCTTTGACCTTGACCTCACTTTTTTAAATTAGTGCTTATCTATGTTTTAAATAAACCATTTCTGATATTTTTATTGAACTTCTTTGCTAATAGTAAATACATACTGATGTAAGCTTTTCAACTGCATCAGCATTTTGACCTCAACCTTTCCTTTGACCTTGACCTCTGTTTTCTCAAATAACTGTTAAGCTCAGTTTTAAATAAATCATTCAAGATATTTTTATCAAACCTCATATGCTGATATGTATTAGTGAGAGCTATTCAACTGCATCAAAAACGTTTCACCTTGCACTTTCCTGTGACCTTGACCTCCCTTCTCTTTAATTTGTATTTTGCTTAGTTTCAAAGAAACAATCTAAGATATTTTTTATGTAAGCATGCACTTATACATAATTTTGTGAGAATTTATCATCTATATCCATTTTTTTTAGATTTTAGTTTCAATTTTAAAGAAACTGTTCACGATATTCTCATCAAACTTCATACACTCATACAAATTTTCATGTTGCATTAGTAATATACATTCGGCGGGGCATTTATGTCCTATGGACATATTTCTCGTTTTCAAATCATGACCTCCGAGGATAGGGTCAGGCCACAATAAGGGATCAAAGTTTTATAGATTTAAAAGGAAAAAAAAAATCTTCAAAATTCTTCTTTTTAAGAACAAGAAAAGCATGATTAATATGGAAACATTCCCAAGAAGTGTAGATTCAAGTTTGTACAAATCATGACCCCATGGGTTAGGGAGGGGCCATTTTTTTCCTGCCCCTATTTGCTATCCACATGGAAATGCAAATTTTAAACCATTTTACACATCCACAGGACAAAATCAATCATCTTCCAAAAGATCATGATTTAAGGCTAGTGCATAAAATATAAGGGAAGTTCTGGGAACCAGGATGTCTAAACATGTTAAATATTTTTTTAAAAAAAATTTGACCCCCATTTGACCCCAGGGGGAAAATAAGAATTCCGAAACCTTACTGCACATCTATAGGACACCACCAACCATCTCCCAAAAGATGATTAGGCTACTGTGTAAAATGTAAGAGGAGTTCTGGGAACCAGGGGCTTTTTGCATAAAAAACGCTATTTTTCGACCCCCATTTGACCCAATCGTGAAAATGAAAATTCCAAAACCTTACTGCACATCTACATGACACCACCAACCATCTCCCAAAAGATGATTAGGCTACTGTGTAAAATGTAAGAGGAGTTCAGGGAACCAGGGGCTTTTTGAATAAAAAACGTCATTTTTCGACCCCCATTTGACCCCCAGGGTAAAAATGAAAATTCCAAAACCTTACTGCACATCAACATGACACCATCAACCATCTCCCAAAAGACGATTAAGCTACTGTGTAAAATGTAAGAGGAGTTCTGGGAACCAGGGGCTTTTTGCATAAAAAATGTCATTTTTCGACCCCCATTTGACCCCCAGGGTAAAAATGGAAATTCCAAAACCTTACTGCACATCTGCAGGACACCACTAACCATCCCCCAAAAGATGATTAGGCTACTGTGTAAAATGTAAGAGGAGTTCTGGGAACCAGGGGCTTTTTGCATAAAAAACGTCATTTTTCGACCCCCATTTGACCCCCAGGGTGAAAATGAAAATTCCGAAACCTTACTGCACATCTACATGACACCACCAACCATCTCCCAAAAGACGATTAGGCTACTGTGTAAAATGTAAGAGGAGTTCAGGGAACCAGGGGCTTTTTGCATAAAAAACGTCATTTTTCGACCCTCTTTTGACCCCCAGGGTGAAAATGAAAATTCCAAAACCTTACTGCACATCTGCAGGACACCACCAACCATCTCCCAAAAGACGATTAAGCTACTGTGTAAAATGTAAGAGGAGTTCTGGGAACCAGGGGCTTTTTGCATAAAAAACATCATTTTTCGACGCCCATTTGACCCCCAGGGTGAAAATGAAAATTCCGAAACTTTACTGCACATCTACATGACACCACCAACCATCTCCCAAAAGATGATTAGCCTACTGTGTAAAATGTAAGAGGAGTTCTGGGAACCAGGGGCTTTTTGCATAAAAAACGTCATTTTTCGACCCCCATTTGACCCCCAGGGTGAAAATGAAAATTCCGAAACCTTACTGCACATCTACATGACACCACCAAACATCTCCCAAAAGATGATTAGGCTACTGTGTAAAATGTAAGAGGTGTTTGAGAAATAAGAGTGTGACAGACGGACGGACGGACAGACATGAGTAACAACAATATACCCGAACTTTCTTTAGAAAGTGCGGGTATAACAAGGTACCATATGTCATATGCATGCTTTTATCAGAGTTTTTATCATTTCCCTACAACTCTTACGTAACATTTTGGAATAAAGAAGTGAGTATTTAGTTTTGAAATTGAACACCTTTTATTTCATTAAGATCTATTATTTAACAAAACGTAATTGATATCAAGATAGTTAGATATTATATATTTATATATCAAATACTTTTCATATCATTGACTATGAAGTTACCAAACCCGACAATAATAAATATGAATCAAAGAAGTTACTCAACGATTTGATTACTAGAAACCATCTTCTAATTCTATATTATACAAAACTTGGGACCTTTTGTGAAAAAGGTAGTTGCTTTCAGATTCTGAATATGTAGAAAAGTTAATTTCAGTGCTCACTGTATTAAAAATGTAGAGCACTTGTCAAGGTCTCATCAAAAACCGAAAATCTTTCAAACACATAAAACATCACATCTGAGTTCTGTTAACAATGTCTTGTTTAGACACTTGCAGGACCTTGTACATGACTAAAGTAGGAAAATAAATGAATGCATTGCTAAATAAAACATCTATTTTGACTCCGTGTAAATAATATAAGCGTAACCATAAATTAATTTTTGCATTAAGCAAATTGGATAGATTTAAATTTGTTTAATCAACGACTTATTTAGTAAAAATCAGTAAAAATCAACGACGTGTAAGAATAATTGATTGTATGTTGTTTTACGTCCCGTTCAAGAATTTTTCACTCATATAGAGACGTCACCATATACCGGTGAAGGGCTTCAAATTTTGATCTTAACTCGGCACTCAGGGCCATTGAGCAGTGAGGGTTCTTTATGACACGGGGCCTCGGTTTTTAAGGTCTCATCCGAAAGACCCGCAACATTAACTTCAAGGTGGTGATCGCTTGGCGAAGGAACAGTTGCTACCTATTTTTATCGACTTAGGTCAGTCGCGGCCGTGATTCGAACACACGACCTTCCGATCACGGATCTAGCGCTCTACCGACTGAGCTACCGTGAATGTCCGTGGAAGAATAGAATTCTCTATAAAATTAAGTATTCAAGTTTTTTCTAATTCTTTCACTTCATTTTTTAAGAAATGTACACCACATTTTAATACAAAATATAATAATATAAAGTAATTAAAAAAAAAAAAGAAAATAAAAAGAAAAGAATGAAAAAATACTCACGATTTCATCACATCGTTGATTTTCAGGAGACCTCTTTTCTGCCATGGTATCCTTTTACTTCCCAGGATTATGGAAGATATACATCAACATGTCCTATCTAATGAAGTTATCCTTCAATATAGATTTTAGAGACATTCTAATTGTTATTTTATATCAGATTCATTTGAGTTGAGGGTAGCATTTAGCATTATGATGGGACATGTATACATACAGCGTATTGTACGGTGTGTTTTGCTCTAGTCTAGCTCGTAAAATTACTCTTTTTTCATTAGGTAACAAGAGTTCAAACAAGATGTATGTTCTATTTGATGCGGAATCCTCATACCACCCATTTGCAAGAGAGATGGGATGTACTTATCATGAGAGAAAACTGATTGAACACAAACATAATTTTAAAACTGAAGATTTTACATAGATGCGATGAGACATTCAAACAACTGACATCAACTTAAGAGAAAGGCTAGTCCAAAATTTCATTTAATGGATCTCTAAGATATCTTTTTTGAAATATGGTTTCAGCATGGAAAGATTGATATACATGTAGGCTATTAATTATTTTATATGATTTTTTTTTTTTTTTTTTTTTTTTTTTTTTTTTTTTTTTGATTTTTTCAAAGAATGCAATTGTTTTTATCTTTCCATTAAAAATTACACAGTATGAATTTCTAAACAAACATGTCCAAAAAGAGTCAAAAGCCATTTTATTATTGTATTCAATATTTTTATGAAAATAAAACATTATTTATTCATATTTCTTAAACATATGGATAAAATCTTTGAGAAACAAATTACAAATAGGAAAGACATGATACTTAATCACATTATTTGAAAAAAAATCAATTGTGAACTTTCAAAAAATTGGCAATTTTTAAATTTGGACCATTACCGATTGACATTAAACCGATCCCGATCAAAATAAATACAGAATTCATTATACCACATTGCTGCCAATCTCATGCAGTTTCTGCAAGTAATAAGAAATCCATATGATTGATATAAGTTCAATTATCTTAAAAACCATATTACACAAAAGAAACCTAGTATTTTGGGGAAATTGTGATATGTTTCCTTTTTATATAATTATGGTTGGGATCGGTTTAATTTTGAAAAAAAATTCTAAAATTTTTTCTGATAAAAATTTTTCTGATATTTTGCTACACTGGTTCCCTGACATTGGTTAACGGGCACAAGTGCCCTGAAAAACCAACTAAAAGCTATAAAAGCTAATTCATAAAGTATAAACAATCCAAATTATATCACACCCCCCGAAACACTAAATTAGTGTCGAGTCGAGTGATTTAAGGTACGTGACTGATGGGAGCCTCTTTCTTTGAAATTGCAGCTTCTGCAATCAAAGGCAGAGAACTTGCCTAAAATTTTGCAATTCAGTGAAATATATGGAGATAACGAACAGTATTCAAGCTCAAAAGTCCATTAAATAATACAAAATAGGAGCAGAACAAACATCATTTCATTTCAATTTCTGTATAAAATACAATTGCCTGACATTTCTTTTCTTGTGGTAATTATTTCTTGGAGTTTTTATCTATGGCTTTAAAAAATATTATAAATTATTTAAAAAAATTATTAATTTTGAAGCCATTATTAATTCTTATTAAAAAATTTAAAAAGCCAACCTGATTCTTCTTGATATGTTTCTGTAGTTATTTCTATTGTGTAATTTACAACTCTTGAACATCTTATTTGCAAATAAAATAAATTTTGCATTTTCTTACATAAAAAACAAAAAGAATTCAAAAATAGAGGCCCGGGGGCCACATCGCTCACTGGAGCACTCTGGCTAGGAAATAGCAGAAATCAGTTCAGTCTTGAAATGTTTAAATATAAAATTGGTTCTGGGAGGGGCGTTGATTTAAAATAACTTGAATCTATTCTTCATAGGAATGCTTTTGAATTAACATGACAAATAATGGCTTTCCTGTTCTTAAGAAGAATTTTTTTTATTGATATATCCTTTGTATTCCATTGTATAATTATGATCCCCTGTTAATGGCCCCTCTTTTCTCCTGGGGGGTGGGGGGTCATGATTTGAACAATTTGAATCTGCATTACCTGAAGATGCTTCCATTTAAATAAGACTAGTTATGGATTTGCTGTTCTTGTTAAAAAAGATTTTAAAGATTTTTCTTATGTATTCCTATGTAAAACATTGATAGTCAATTGTGGCATCACCCTACTCCTGGGCGATTGAATTGAACAAACTTGAATCTACACAACCCGAGGAAACCTGAGGATGCTTCCATATAAATATGAACAATCATGGTTTTGATGTTCTTGAGAAGAAGATTTTTAAAGATTTTTCCTATGTATTCCTACATGTATGTAAAAGTTTGATCGTCCAATGTGGCCCCACTTTACCCCTAGGGGTCATAGTTTGAACAAACTTGAATCTACACTACCTGAGGATGCTTCCATATAAATATGAACAATAATTGCTTTGCTATTCTTGAGAAGAAGATTTTTAAAGATTGTTCCTATATATTCCTTTGCAAAACTTTGATCACCCTTTGTGGCCCCATCCTACCCCTGAGGGTCATGATTTGAACAAACCTTAATCTACACTACCTGAGGATGCTTTTAATTAAATATGATCAATTAAGGCTTTGATTTTCTTGAAAAAGTTTTTTAAAGATTTTTTCTATATAGTTTGATCGCCAATTGTGGCCCCACACTACCTCTGGGGGTCATTATTTGAACAAACTTGAATTAACACTAACATAAGTTTCATATTTTTAAGCACAATGGTTCTTGAGAAGATTTTTAAATCATGATATTAATTTTTCACAAATTCATAATTATCTTTCATTGGATGGCGTGGGCCTTCATTTGAACAAATTTGAATTTCATTTACCCAAGGATACTTTGTGGCAAGTTTGATTGAAATTGGCCCAGGGGTTCTGGAGAAGATGACAATGTGAAAAGTTTACGACGACGACAACGACGACAGAAAACGGACAAATTTCGATCAGAAAAGCTCACTTGAGCCTTCGGCTCGAGTGAGCTAAAAATAATTAAATTCTAATAGCGATCTTTCCATGCTGAAACCATGTTTCAATAGAGATGTCTTAAACACCCAATTTTACAATAACGCACTCAAAAGTTTCGTTATTCAAGATTAATTACATACCGACTGTCAGTCATAGAAAAAAGAACAATAGCTACTGATTTGATTGACAAGCTAGCTTCCTGTGCAACCTGATAATCTGAATTTGCATGTTTTGAAAACGATCACCTAGTCACGCGTCAGATGCTATCACTTTCCCCGTGAATAGTCACTTTGTAAACACTCTGGTAAAAAAAGGGAAATTGCTGTGATATTGGTTGGTAATTATATTTCAAAAATAATTGAGAGTAGATAATAAGAATTCTTGGCTTCATGCTTCGAGCCCTTTTCTCCTTCAATGACTGGAACTGGGATCCAGAGAGGGAAGAAGTTCCTTAGCAGCACAGACCTATAACTCTTTAGAGCCCCTTATTCAACCGGTGTCTGCATTTCAAGAAGTCCTGATTGTCTCTGTCAACTTGGGTACACAGAAATTCTATTTCGCGGTAATTGGAAACAATTTAATCCCCCTCCCCACCAATTAAAAGTATAACAAAATGGAATAGAATAAATTTTAAAATATCATTTAACACTAACGGCATGAAAAAGGTTTGAAAATTACGAAATATTCTTTTATCAAATGTTTTAACTATAGACATATAAATGTTAAAAAGATCACATGAGTGTTAAAGTACATATTGTCTTGGTATACAGTTTGTTAAGGTTTATATTTAAGCTGGATTTTGGGGGTGTCGTTCTATTTTTCCTATTTAAAAAGAGCAGACTACAAAGAATACAACAATCTACGGCATGCGGTGGGAGAAATGTCACAATCATTGTTCGAATTTCCTCTAACGTCTATATTCCTAATGAAAAGGGTGAAGATAACGAACAGTCTGCAGAGGTGAATATTTTGGACTTTATTGTTGGCCCGAGAAATAAATAGTATTCCAATGGTATATATCCACAAGATACATAGTATTTTATTTCAATATTTACATTTGAATTATATCAATGTTAAAAATAAATGAAGTCAAAATACTCTTTAGTATGCAATTTTATGATTATTATGACCATCATTCAATTTTTTCGTCCCCTAGCTCACCCACTTCCTGTACAAAATATTTCTTTTTTTACAACCTTATTCCTATGGTGGTATTTTTCCACCATCACTTAATTGTGAATTGCTTTTATTATGTTCATGTTAAATACTAAAATCTGATTAGTTTAGACGCATTTAAGAATCCGTAATGTTAACCTCAGCGTCACCAACACACTTGACAACGGCTAACATAATGATAATGTCACATGCGTGCTAATCATTCACCTACAGTTCACCGTTGAATTCTCAAAACGTCAGTTGCGTCTGATGAAGCTTACTTAAAACAAGAAACGACAGATGAAAAATGCTTGCAAGTGCACAAGTAATGAAAATCTTGATGACAAAGGACTCTTTGAGTATCAAACTAGCTGGAGAACTGTAGTGTTACGGCACCATTTATCTAATGTCGACTTGTCAGTTAATAACCATCTTGACTAGGAACTCATTTCTTGCTATAAAGCGTCTTAATGCAACTATCTATCTGACATTTACTTGACATTACTAATATATTAACATCTGACAAGTCAAAATAATAGGTTGATATAATTTTATGAAAATCGACATATTTTCTGACAAGTCAGCATAATTAACAGACAAGTTTACTGACAAGTCGACTGAATTATCTACATTTGAATTGTCAGATGTTGACATGTGAGATAATTTTGACGGCTTGCTAGAAAATTATGATTACTTAACATGTTTAGTTGTCAGATCTTTTTGTCGACTTCTTAGATGATTATGTCGACGTGCCAGAAAAGTATGTCATCCACTGGATGGCACGAACTGGGCATGAATATGTTACCATGTTAATTTTCTATACATTTGAATAAGTGCCAAGTCGACAGACTTTGTAGATCTGATAAAAACATTTCACATCTG